TAATTACAGAGGTTTTGAGTCATTTTAACTTAACAGGCTGGAAAAATACGACCTCTGGCTATATGGCCTTTTCATTGCATCTCACACATGTGAGCATGTGTGCGCGTGTGTCTGTGTATGTGTTTGTTGATTTTGAGGAAGGTTCATTACTTTCTGTTCTGCTTTCCCAAGTGCTCTAATTGTCCCTGCTGTAGCGCCCAGGCCCCTCCTCCCGTGTGCTGACAACTGTCAGGGTTTCCATGGACACAGCAGCAGACTGTTGGTTGTGTTTTGCGGCAGGGCAGTCTGTGTGTCACTTGAGGTGGCCTTGTGGGCACTTCATCAGTGATTCTGCACAGGGCCCACTTAGCCTGATCTAGGAAGGGAACGTCAGACAGGAACCACGAGATGCTGCCTCTAGAAGTGGGCATCGGAAGTCACACAGGAGCGACACTGTGCTGCCACTGGTCCTCCAGCGTGTTCACTTTGATTTCCACTTGCCATGTTCAAGGAGCCTGACATTTTGTTTCTCTGTGTTTATTTGAGCAGGGACTGTGGGATCGGGAACCATCGATTGGTTAGCAGTGGTCTGTAACTCTCAAGTAGCTCTTAGTTGTAAGCAAAATGTCTGAGTGTTGAAAGCCAGCCCTCTATCAATGGGGTCTGTCCTCCTGCGGCTCAGTCTCACCTCCTCCCAGGTGAGAGGTCACTTTGAGGATTTTAGAAACTGCATCTCTTGGACTCCATTTCTGCACATGGTAGAGCTGGAAAACCCCATGGTCTTTACAGAGTTAACCCCTGAGGCTTTTTGAGTGGGCTCATACTAACATCCTGAAAATCCCTAACAGCCCTCTGACTCCCCTGCCTCTCAGGGATGAGCAGCACAGGGGAGCCTCGAGGGCCACAGACCCCACTTAAGACATATCTGTGGGTTTGGGGGTGTCACTCCTAGTGTGTTCCAGATTAATGGCCATTTGCTTTGACAGATTTCACCCTGAGGCAGTCACCGGCGAGAGCCCTCGAGCATTAGTTAGGTGGACTGCTCCAGCCAGGGTTCAGGTTCTCAAGGCTCTTTAGGTGGACTGCTCAGCCAGAGTTCAGGTTCTCATGGCTCTTTAGATGGACTGCTCCAGTCAGGGTTCAGGTTCTGCATGGCTCTTGGAGTAACGGGAAGATGGTGTCCGCTTCTCTCTACCTTGTTACTCATGAATGGAGTGTGATTTTGGTTTTCATTGATTGATAACAATATGGTGGTCTGGTGGGAGATGCCAAGACCCGTACTTTTCTTCTTGCTACTTTTCAGATTGGGGTTTACTAACCCTGAGAGGGCTGGAGAGGGTTTGGTGAGTATGGGACTCTAGATGTAATATGCATTTACACAATGCCCAGTATGCGTGGAGATGTTTCTTGCATTTGAGGCGCCTGTGGAGTTAAATGAGGTGCTCCCTAAGTGGAGGAAGATGGGCGATGGGCACTTGGACTGGACAGAAAGCAGAAGTCACTTTTACCATCGTTTCCTTCACCTTCTGCCCAGCCTCCTGTCACAGTCTTAATTCCTTATTCCCTGAGTGGCCCCTTTGTCCTTTGCCTTTGCGGTGGTCCTGTGCACATCTCCCTGCTCCTGGGATCTCTGTTCTCCTCCTATTGCCCCCGTGCCCACGTGCACGCAGCCTTGTGTGTTAACAGATTGGTACAGTGTGAGCCCACACTCAGATGACTGCTCAGAAGTGCTCACAATACACAAAGGAGGGTGTACAAGTTCTCCACGCTGTTAGCAAGAGCGGCTGTCAGCTTCCTGCCATAGCAGGTGGCAGCCATGGCTCACTGTCAGCCCATTTGGATCTCCTGTCCTCAAAATCTGGCAAGAGTTTGGAGCTGCTTTTACCCCCCTCCCCCTGCCCCCTTTAGAAATTTCTGGGAAACAGAAGTAGCTACAGTGTTCAGACAAAGGCTGTAGAGCAGGCAGTGTCTTCCACCACAATCTTTCAGGTTGTATGCAAGTTCTAGCTGGGCACACGAGAGTGAAGGCACCTTAGAACACCAGGGACCATAGAACACCAGTGGGGGAGGGGGTGAGAACCATAGAACACCAGCGGGGGGGGGGGGGAGAACCAGAGAACACGGGGGGGGGGGGGGGGGGGAGGGCCATAGAACACGGGGGGGGGGGGTGAGGGTTATAGAACACCAGTGTTCCATTTGGACAAGTGTGTGATGTCCTCAAACAAAGAGCGCTGAAGTCTAGAACAGTGTGCAGAGACTGGATGCCCTGAGCTGTACTTTGTGGCCCAGGGCTGTCTGCTTCCTCTTCTGAATCTCATGTTCTGTTCTGCCGAATGGGCTACCGCTGCCTGCTCCCTGCTCCCCAGTAAATCTCAAAGGTTAAATGAGACCATGCGCGTGCCACAGCCTATCTGAGGCAGCATCTGCCATTTGCTAGCATTTATTCCCTTTTTTTCATACGCTCTATCTCATCACCAGCTCTCACCCTGAGAATTAAATAAGGACTCAGACTCTTGTGAGTGTAAGAAATCCTTTGCTTTGAATGGTGGCTTTTTTCTAAAGAAAGATGAATTCCTATTTGTTTTAAATATTTTAATATGATTTTGTTTGAAATGAAGAGGATGGACTATGTAACCGCTCAAAATTTAAAGCCCAGTAGTTTTATGATTCTTTATTGCTTTGACAAAACCAGTAGGGCCTTCCTTTCTAAAGGGTTTTGGTTTTTGGTGAAAGGCTTTGAAGACAGACAACTCTGCACTTTGTAAGGAGCCTTTCTTGTTTTTGTAACCAGAACATTCATGTTTTAGTGATGATGTTTCCTCCTAAAAATAAAAACAACTGAAAATGAGTTTCTTTGCCAAACTCTCAAAGCTGCTTTGCCTTAGGCACAACAGGTCCATAAAAGGTCATTCCAGGCAGCTTGGCCACTAGCTTCCTTTGCTCCCAAGGATAGGGACTGAGAAAGGGTGGCTTGGGAACGAGAAAGACCTGGCTAAAATGTTGGCTAGTCTCACATGCTGGAAAGGGAGTTCAGGGGCTAGCATTAGCATGTTGGCAACAGTGGTTTTCCTTCCTTCCTGTGAGTTTTATTTTGGGATCTACCTTTGAAAGTTCTGTTAACTAGAACTTTATTGGCTGTAGCATGACATTTTTCCTTTGTGATCCCAAATATTTGTGGCTTTTGTGGGTTTTTCTTTTTAATTTCAGTTCCCGTGATATTAAGACCAGCTGGTTAAAGTTATTTATTTTGATGCAGAAAGGTATTATGACTAAACCACACTGAATAAAATTCAGTCATGAAGGTGACAGGATGCAGGGGAATAAGGCCTTTCACGTCAGAAAAGAGTTCACACACGTCCTTGTTTCAGGAGTGGGGAAGGAGCTATAGGTAGGTGGCTCAATCTCCTAAGCACCACCCTGTTGGAGACCAGCTTCGGCAAAAACACCACTTTCCAGGGTAGGGGATGGGAATTAGAAAACAAGTAAAGAGGATGAAGACAGCAGCGAAAATAATAAAACAAAAACATGAGACAGTACCAGGAGGGAGTTCCAGTGAATAAAGAAATTCACACGCGTTTAGGCTGCTTCGTGAAGGTGTCCTCATGTTAGTCTGCCATTTATCATTCCCTTTCCTCCCCTAGTTTATAAAAGATTGGCATGCTCTCTGGTTTCTTAGGAGCACACAGTCTGGGCAGCAGCACTGGGGGTGAGAGAAGCGTGGCCAGGGAGGTCCATCTTCCCCTGGGAAACGTCCCTGTTCCTGTGGTGGGCTCTACCTTGATATATGCTGTAGAATTAGGGCAGGATTTGGAGAGATGGCTCAGTGGTTGGAGCACTAGCTGCCCTTCCAGAGGATCCAGAGTAACACCCAGCAGCTGCCTGGTGATTCCCACCTGTCTGTCACTCCAGTCCCAGGAGATCTGATGCCCTCTTGTAGCCTCTGTAGCACTAGGCATGTACGTGAAAACATGTAGCAAAACACTCATGTGGAAAAAGTAAATGAAAGAATTTAAAAAAGAACTTCTATGATTATCAAATAGTTGGTATCGGGGAGTGAATGGAGTGGTTAATGACTGTCAGAATAGTTTTTACTTCAAACAATCAGAAGGCCAAGCGGCTATTTTCAGGCATATTTCCAAGCATGCCAAAGCTTTCCTACAATTGATGCTTGCAAGTTCTTGGATATCACCGTTCAGTATCAGCTAAAAGGTTTTTGTGGAATCTTTTTGTTTTTCCATTTCATACTTTTCAAACATATTTTAAAAAAATCTTGAAATGAGATTCTTTGAATCAGGCATCTGTGCATCTTCACTGCTGGTGTGGCCATGGCTCTTCTTCAAGACTCAGCTTGAATATGGCCTGATTTCTGCATCATGCTGGGAGATGTCACTCTAGATGTCATTGCTAGATCTTGATCAAAGGATTGGTACATGTACAGTGACCATGGACTATCACAGGCATAACCAGATGCCAGTGATGAGTAGTGAGGGTGCTTTAAAATGGTAAGTGACATTTGTTGCTATTGGAATCTATGGTATTGCTAAAGGATACAGTAAATGCATACCTAAGTGGTTATCTTTATACGTAAACAGTAGCATGCATTTAATGTTGAAACAAACATTCCTCTTCTTATCCTTTCTCTAAACTCTCACAGAAATTTAAAATACTAAAATATTACATTAATATTTTATGAATTAAATTATTAGTAAAATAAATAGAAGCTACTTTTATACCTACCTTGGAAAGCTGAAGAGCGCCTGTCTCTGACATGTGTGACATGTAACTCAGTGGAAATGTTGGTATAAAAACAACAGGCTTATGTACATGGTCATAGATGCTTGTGCATGCTCCTGTGCCTGTTGGGTCAGGGGGGGGGTCATGCAAAGATTGGGACAGACCACCAAAGTCTAATAAACGAGAAGCAAACTTTATTTTAGAAACAAGAATTCAGGGGAAAAAAAAATCTCCATGGGGCACAAAAAGCTTATCAGCTAGTTGAGATCATAGCCAGAGATGGATTTTGTTAGGCTTGTGGCAAAAAGCCGGTTTCTGAACCCACCTTTTTATAGTAGGGGCACCAAGCATTAGATCTAAACAAAGGAATTTTGAGGTAAAACTCAGATACAGATTGCCTTACTTTACAATCTCCATTAACAGAGTTTTCAGTTAAACTAGTGTTTGGACTTAATCTGTTGTCTTCCTGGTACTTTTAGGTGGTGTTTACTGAAGCCCTGTGCTCTCCCCTTTGATGCTGCCAGTTTCACAGAGCAGGGATAGTGCATAACCCAGAGGTCATGTATCTATCTCCTAAAAGTTGACTCAGCTCATACCTGTAGGCTAGCTCTCAGTGTGCAGAGATGCTATGGCCTTGTAAGTAGAGCTATGGGTTGTAAAGCGAAATAACCCACTGTTAATAGGTCATCCTGAAGCTGCAGAGAAAGCTGCTGACAGTTTGTTCTCATTCTCCTAGACTTTATATTTCTTTATTTCTACATTCTTATTTTTGGAATCTACATTTTTATATTTTTATTCTTGGACCCTTCATTCCCTCCTTGGATTTGTAACTTGAATCAAATCTTTGATTTGTTTTTGATTAAAGTCTCTGACTTGGCCTTTCTTCAGCCTAGTTTGGGGACAGGGACGATGTATTCTTTTCTGTAACTGCTTCAAGCTGAAAAGGGGTGTAGATGTTCAGGGCCCAGGAAGCTGGAAGGCCAGTCAAAGGTAAGGGGGAATAGTGGGCAGTGTGCAGATGTTCAGGGCCCAGGAAGCTGGAAGGCCAGTCAAAGGTAAAGAGGGAATAGTGGGCAGTGTGCAAGAGGATCTGATTTGACCCAGTTGGAGAGAAGCTGCGTTCTTGTCAGCTGGATCGGTCCATGTCAGCTTTTAGCAATTGCTGAGCTCATGGGCTGTGTTCAGCAGCTGATGCCTGGATGTGTCTGTCAGCCAAATGGAACCCTGCTAGGACAGATATAGATCAGAGAGAAGAATTAAATTTAAGAATTTAAAGGAAAAATTACAATTGAAACTTTCAGGGAAGGGGCAACGTCTCAAGACAGGAGAGGGAGAGAAACATCCTTAGGAACAGACAGGTAGGGAACTTTAGGTTGTACTTTTCTGGAGTCCTTTTGATCTGTGAGAAGTAGATTTAAGTCTCAGGACTTTTTTGGTTCTCCGAAGCTTACATGAATTTTTAGGGTTATAAAAAGATATAAGTTTTAGACATATTAGCATTCCCCTGTGTATAATCTGTGCTGATATTTACATTGCAGAAATGCAGTAGACTCGTGCCAGAAATGAATCTGGTTGAAAACATGAACATTTCTTTATCCAGAAGGCTGTGGCCCATGTTTTCTGCACAATGAAAGCATCTCTGAGGTCTACAGTTAGGAAACAACCAAAGCGATTTGAAATCTCGAGCTTGTGGCTATGATGATCGTGGTAGTTCTCTGCCAGAGCTCGGTTAATAGCTTATCAGAATTTTGCCAGTTAACATTAAGACTATGAAATTTTGGAGTCCTAAATATAACAACAGAGAAATATATAATGAGAGAAATCTGAAACATGCTTTATTCTTTTAAACATCTCAAATCATTTTTTTCTTTTATCAATATTTAAGCCTTCTTATCCTCAGACCTTAATAACTTGCATTTACACATCTTAAGTCATTTTTTGTACTCTGAAACATTTTTATTTACATACCTTAAATCACCTTTTTTGCACATCTTAAAACACTTTCTTAGACCCTCAAACTCTTATAGATCCTCACATCTCAAGCTTTGCATCGTAAAACAACTTTTATTTACTTTACTGGTAGGTATGGGTCACTGACCACTGAGAGCAGTCACTGTAGAGTTCCTTTAAACAAAGGAATGGTAAGAAGTTATACTGAAATCTGTTTCGTGAGTTTATTTCTCCCCCCCCTCTCTGTCTGGTAGTAAGGTGAAATGTGTGTAAACTTTGTATTGGCTGAATATTGACCTGAATATTCCAGAGAACTGAGAAGGCAGCGGAAGCCTTGGTTGCTGCTTTTAAGTTGTCAAATCAGAGTTCTGAGAGAAATCAATTTTATCTGAGTTATTGATTTAAAAAATGACAGAGGCTTCCTTGCTGGCTGCCTAGACAGCTACCCCAGGATCCTCATGGTCGTTGAGGGCAGGTGATAGGGCAATATCCTTCTTCAGGCTGGCAGAGGTCCCAGAAGATCCCACAGGCTTCTGTGGAGTAAGGACTCATGGGAGGACCAGCCTACCTTTTCATCTGAAGAGAGTCTTGGCAGTAGTTGAGGTGAAAGGCAGGTTTTCCAAGTGGATAGGGCTGCCACTTTTGAGCCAGTTTTGAGTAGATATCTTCTGTGCCCATCTGTCTTCTTTGGAAGTAGAGGAGCTGTCTGGAGCTGGCATGTCTCTCTATTATAAAAAACTTTTTAGTAAAACATTTAAATGCCATTTTCTGTCAATCTCTGAGCATTTGAGGACTGTCTGTCCATTAGCTATATCTGTGCCACAAGTTTTCTGCCCTAAGCATACAAGGGACTAGGTAAGGCTTATCTCTGCAATCAATCCTATCAGTACTTAGCATTACTATGACCAACAGCTTGTCATTTATAAGTTGACTCTTAGCTTGTATTTTTTAACAGTCTATAACGTGTTAGCAGCTTTTATAAGACTAGGACTTTATATTACATTCCTGTCAGATTTAGTCAATAATGATTTTGAATTGAAGCTCTTTTAGTATCAAAATATAACTTTAATCGTAGATGATGAGTTTAGTAAAGAAATTAAGATAACCATTCTTTGGGTAATAGCAGAACAAGTTTGTACCAAACTGAGACTGTTTCCTGAGAAGGCAAAGAAAAGCGATTATATCAGACTCAGTAACCAGAACATTCAGAGGGTAATTTTAAGTTTGGGCAGTCAGTAAGGGCTGCAGTCATGATTAACTTATACATTTAGTGGCCGTATTTATGCGTTTAAAGCAGACAAAACTTTTCTTCCTTTCTTTTTAAGCTGAATTTTAGGTAGGGGAGGGGCTGCAGGCCGTTTGCACTTTCCTGGTGGGTCTGCTCCAGCAGCTGCCCTGCTCTGGTGTTTCCCACTGTGCCACTTTGGAGCATGTGCCATTTTGTGTGAGCAAAACCAATTATCATCAGGGAGAAGTGGCTGGCAGTGGACATCCTTGGTGTCTGGCCTTGTAGTCGCCTCTGCTTGCCTCTGCCCTCCTGGCTCCTCCTTGGCATTCGCGCCTGGGACTGCAGTACCTGTGGGGGAGGGGTGGTCCTCTCTCTGGCTGCCAGCAGTGCTACACAGGTCTACTGTTAGATTCCTGAAATCCTGGGAGTGGGAGAATAGGATCTGAAAGGACCTGAGACTCAGAGGAACCTCTGGGTATAAGGATTGATAACCCTTTAAGTCTCTTGCAGGGCTTCGTCAAAGACAGTTGAGAAATTTTTGACTCCTTGTGGCAGGAGAGTCCTGGTGTGCTGACCACTGAAGCCCCAGTCTTGGCTGTGCCATTCGAAGGCAAAAAGCAGCTGACTCTTGGCTTTGAGAGTTAGGCTGAAGAAGGCGTCCTTAAGATCTAGAACTGAGTACACTTGAAGCTCCAGGGACGGGGAGCTCAGGAGATTATAGGGGTTGGGAATTATAACATGAATGTCTTTAACCCATTTGTTAGTCTCCCTAAGAGCTTGCATGGTTTGACAGTCACTGGTCCCTGGCTTCTTTTTTTTTTTTTTGGTCCCTGGCTTCTTAACTGGCAGAAGCGGGGTGTTCTATGGAGACTGGCCTCACCCTCAGTCCCCTGTTGAGCATTGGCTTTTCTGCCCATCCTCCTGGGATGGAGCACTGGAGTTCAGCTGTTAGAGGACATACCTCTAGAGTGAGAGTCTGTGAGAAGAGCCTGTGTTCTTTCAGATCCAGGCATAAGGCATAGAGTTTGGACCTTGGGGAGCTCGTCACCCCTTTCCCAGTGAAATGAATTTGGGCTTTCCCAGGAGGGGGTAAGGGCATTCAGGGATAACTATGATGGAATGCCTAACTTTCTTCCCAATCCCATGGTCTGTGGTTCATGGTTGCAGGGCCATCCTTGTATCCCCTTAAACCCACATATGCTTGTCTGGTAGAGTCCCGAATTGAGTTTTTAATACTGAGTGAGCACCAGTGTCCACTAGGAAATCAAAAGGTTGCCCCTCCACCTTTAGGGTTACCCAAGGCTCAAGGAGAGGCTTCAAACCCTGTTTGCTTCAATCGTCTGGACCTGCCAGTCCAGGACTTCTTGCCCCTTCTTCCTTTGTGGGCATTGCCCATTGGCCATTTGGGACAATCTGTGTTCCCTCTGCCCATCAGGTCCCCAACTCTTATCTGCCAGTAAGACTTTTGCCAGTGCCCGAACTTGCTTATCCTCAGGTGTTTCTCTGTTGTTGTAAACCTTAGTGGCTATAGCAATGAATTCAGTCAGATTGTTACCTTTAAGTCCTTTGAGTTGCTGAAGCTTCCTCTTAATGTTTGTGGCTGCTCAGTTGATGAAAGTCAGATTGACTGCCATTTTGGTTCTCAGGAGCCTTAGACGGTGGGTTGTCTAGCCGGTGCTCGGAGAGCGCCTCGTTAATGACTGCCTCATCATTAGTGGAACCTGCTTATGGCATTCCCGCTGAATTCTATCTCTTTCTTCAGTGGTGAACATTATCTGGAGTGGTTGCTAGTAATCTCCCCCGGGTTGGGGAATGTGTAACCAGGACAGTATCTAGGAGATCTGTTAGTGCTTGGGGTTTCTCAGTAAAGGAAGGAGTTCGAAGTTTCCAGTTATACTGATCACTCACTGCTTGAAAAGGGGAAATAAACCAGGCGAGGGGTGCCGTCCTTAGCAGGAAGTCCCAAAGTGTGGAGGGGGAGAGCAAGAGTCACCCGTGGCTTCCCTGAATGAGTGTGAGTGCCAAGTGGACTCGGGAAAGAGTACTGGAGGGAGAGTGGGGAGGAGGAGGGAAGCGGAGCTCCATGGGGGAGCAGAAGGTCTTGAGTAGCTCTGGCTTTACATGGGCTGCAGCGGCTGCAGCGGCCTCCCTGAAATCCTGGAAAAGAGAAAGGAAAAGGTCCAGGGGAGACTTAGGTTTGGAAGAAACTTTTCCCATAGTTAAAATTAGTTTACACACAACCACAGCAAGAAGACTGACAACAGACAACATGGCATGAGACAGAATCGACAAGACATCGCTGTGCTCTGGGTCACATGATCCCATATCAGTTCCAAAGGTCGCATAACCACACAACCCAGTGGCCAGTGGAGGAACGGGGTGTCCCCTCATTCCCCCAGCTCTGAGATTAGAAGTGCATTTGCTAGATTTCCTTGAGCCTGCAGACTGCCCAGACACCAGAAACCAGAACCAGAAACTTACCAATTGGTAAAAACAGAATAATAAAGTTTGCCTAAAACCACAGACTGGGGTGCTCCTCAGAACCAAATTTGTGCTCCCCCTACGGGCCACCAAAGTGTTGAGTCGTGCAAAGATGGGGACAGACCACCAAAGTCTAATAAACCAGAAGCAAACTTTATTTTAGAAACAAGAAGAATCCAGGAAAAAATAAAAATTCTCCATGGGGCACAAAAAGCTTATCAGCTAGCTATGACCACAGCCAGAGATGGAATTTGTTAGGCTTGTGGCAAAAAGCCGGTTTCTGAGGGGCACCAAGCATTAGGTCTTAACAAAGGAATTTTGAGGTAAAACTCAGATACAGATTGCCTTACTTTACAATCTCCATTAACGGAGTTTTCAGTTAAACTAGTGTTTGCACTTAATCTGTTGTCTTCCTGGTACTTTTAGGTGGTGTTTATTGAAGCCCTGTGTTCTCCCCTTTGATGCTGCCAGTTTCACAGAGCAGGGATAGTGCATAACCCAGAGGTCATGTATCTATCTCCTAAAAGTTGACTCAGCTCAATCCGTAGGCTAGCTCTCAGTTTGCAGAGATGCTATGGCCTTGTAAGTAGAGCTATGGGTTGTAAAGCGAAATAACCCACTGTTAATAGTTCATCCTGAAGCTGCAGAGAAAGCTGCTGACAGTTTGTTCTCATTCTCCTAGACTTATAACTTTATATTTCTTTATTTCTACATTCTTATTTTTGAATCTACATTTTTACATTTATGTTCTCGGACCCTTCAGTGCCATCCTGCGTGTTCACCAGAGAACTCTACCGCAGAGGAGGAGTAAACAGACAGCTGTCGTCTGGCTCTGGAAGCTTTGAATGATAAATTTAATGTTCTGACCTGGGGTTTTCTTTCTAATTTCTAGTCTGTTTTGTTTTCTTTTAAAATTAAATGGTGTGTGTGTGTGTGTGTGTGAGAGAGAGAGAGAGAGAGAGAGAGAGAGAGAGAGAGAGAGAGAGAGAGAACTATACATCTTGGAGATACTTCCAGTCTTTCAGGGCATGTTATCAGTGTTTTGAACCCCTCATTCCCACAGTGTGCCTTTTTCGGCATCTCTGTGGGAAACTAGAAGCTGTCAGAGAGAGGACGTGGAAGCCCTGCTGCCGGGATGAAAGCTGTTGGTGATCTCTTGTGGCTCTAGTCGTGTCCTCACTTTTAACCTCCTTTCAGGATTGCGTGTCTCTAACCTGCTAGTCTTCATGGTGTAGCTATGCTAAGTGACAGACAGTTCCAGCATGTTCTCTTGGCTTCACCTACCTGGATAATTATGGTAAATGGCGTCAACTCCAAATATAAGCTCGACTGGTGCTCATGTACCACTTACATTTGGTTTGTGTACTTATGTCTGTATGTTTGCCCAGCTGTGTACCTTTTTGTGCATCATGTACTTGAAATCACAACTAATTTGTAAATATTACTTTGTCATTATTTATCTGCAATGTTTGTAACTAATTGACTACTCCAATAGACTTAGGCTAAATATAAGTGGCCTCAGGAATTCTAAATTTTCTAAAATTGTGTGTCTATAAAATTATGTCAAGAGGCAAGCAAAACTGCATTCAGTGTTTTCTGGGTGATGGTATTAAGGGGTAAATTTACTTAATTTCCTTTTTGTTTTGTATTTTTACTAAATTTCCAAGAGTGAGCATATATTCTCTAGTTAGATAATACACATATTTAAAATATAATATGGAGTTAATTTCTAAAACATTTAGAATTCATTTATTCTGTCCTCTAGGTGAGAAATACGATGCTAGCACAAACACTTCCGATTCAGAATCTCACACCTGAGTATGAACTAATTTTGCGATCGCCTTCGACCATTATGGCTGTGTGTTAATTGTTCACCAGACCTGGTTTTCTAGGCAGAGCCGTGTGCAGCAGTTGGGGAGCAGCAGCGCTCATGACGCTAGCTTTTATAAACCAGAATGCACAAAGTTTTCATTGAAATTTTAAATCATATTCATAATACAACATACATTAGAGTTTTTAACATTAAATTTTGTTTTTCATATAGCTGAGTTAGTGTAAAATCCTGTAATAAAATGATCAAGATGTCTGAGATGTCAAAATAAGTAAGAAACATTGCACATTATTGTGAACTGATGTCTTGTAGGGTTGTCAGCTGATGAGAACCCGATCGAGTCAGAACCTTGCGGGTTCAGAGGCTTATTACCCCTAATAGCCCACCAGGTAGCCTTCGGGAGGGGCCTTTACTGTAGCCTCCTCAGTGGCCTTCAGCTTTGTCCCTCACCTGTTCTGCAGCTGTGAAAAGTCTGGAAACTCTTACCATGGGGGATTGTGTGTGTGTTCCTGGGTCAAGGTCTTCCTTTGAGGTGAGAGCCGTGTTTTTGTGTCAACATGATTATGATTTTACAGCAAACTGAGTTTTTCTTACTCTTTTGCTGTGATGTACTGGCCTCCAAATGCCCTCAGTTGTTGTTGCGTTGTCTTCCGCTCACCGTAATTGGTCTGTTGAACTTGGATCCTTCTGGCCTTGATAACAGATGTGTCCTCAGGTCCTTGGGTTGTTCCAGGGTTTTCAAAGAGGTCAGGAGACTTTAAGATATTTTCTCTTCTAGGACTTATTAATGCTGGCAAAGGGTATCAGAGCAATAAACGTGGTGTTTTCAGAGGGCTCAGTAACTCTACAGACTTGTTTTTGTCTTTGGTCACACCCTACAGAGGACTGTAACTGCAGGCCTCTTGTCAGGTGCACCTGTATGCATAAATCAATTTTGACATTTTCTGTAGTTTAATGATAATATGACTTGTTAATAATTACTGTAGTAACTCCCAATTAAAGAGAATTGTGACTCAGATCAGATGCCTTCCAATTAGTACTTTGTCATTTTACATCACCAGAAAATGGTGCGTGCCGAGTTAAAGAAGAGTTCCATTTGGCAGTAGGTGCTTCATTAGCACGTGGGAAGAGTGGCTCACACCCTTTCCTATGCTTTCATTAAAGGGAAGGTCTCCTGTTCAATATTTGAGGTGAGGGGAGATGGTGACGGCAGCTCTCCTGTTCAATATTGGGGGTGTGTGTGGCAGATCTCCTGTTCAGTACTTTGTGCTAGGTTTGCTTCTCTCGGAGTCCGATGTTTGAAAAACAGGAAAAAGCTGATGCTGAGGAGCGATCTGTTCGCAGTGGTAGTGTAGTCATTGGGGAGAGTGTGAGGTTCAGCAGTTGCTCACTGTGTGAATAATAAAGGCAAAGAAGATTGTATTTTACACAACAGGTCCTCACAACGCTGTCGCTGTACAGACCCTTCAGGGGTCACCTGACTCACCCGCTTTAGAGATGATGGAACTGGGGTTCAGGTCAGGGACAGCTCAAGGTTTTCTTACCCCTTGTCCAGTGCCAGCAGGGGGTTAGGCCTAGCATTCTGCCGGAAATGTGATTATACATAACTGAGGTTAGCAAGTGCAGTGATCCCCTTAGATTTGTCAAAAGCTTAGATTTGTTACAAAATTGTGCCAGAGAATTTTGACTTAACTAGTGTCCCATGGTTAACAAAGCAAAGAGTGGATAAGCGCCAGGTTTGGAAGGAGGAATCCAAGTGCAGTGTGATAGACGTCGTTGGGAATTGGGCTAGAACTGCTCAAGGAGATGTGTTAGGGACATAGCAGAGCCATGAGCCTAACAGTTCCTCTCCATAGAGAAGTCACTCCCTGACATGGCAGGGCCAAGGGGCGTCTTTACCCCAGCACTGAGAATGCTGTGATGGGCGACAGCCAGAAAGAGGAGTTGGTCAGTGGATGTTCTCCTGCCTCGTGCCTTTCTAGTACAGAGGGTGCTGGTGATATATGGACTAGTTCTGTCTAGCTTGCGATGAGAAGCTCTCCCTCCCCAGAGAGAACAGCAGGACCTGCAAGAATCCCAGACTCCCCTTTCGCTTTTATTACAAAGTATATTTACAGTTATTTGTTTTATGCGGTTTAAAAATATTCAGATTGCTTAAAATAAGCAAAAGAAATTGTAAATGATTTTCAAGTAGACTAAATTGTCTCTTGTAAAATCATTTTATTTCTGTTTGCGTTGGCTCTGCCTATTGCACTTAAATATTTCTCAGAGAAGGACCTTTTCTGATCTGTGGTCTCCTTAGCAAATGCAATCAGGGTAGCATTTGAATTCAAATGTGTGTGTTTTTACATTTAAATTGCTGTTCTCTGCTGTAGGAAGAGCTCATGCAAGCCATCCATAGTTCATAAGGGTGGATTCTTGTGGTGAAATTA